AGAAGGCAGGTGGCCTCAATATTGTGGCAGGACCGTGGACAGCGCCCACTGGCCATGGTTGACCAACACAGGGACATCTGCTCTTCTTTCCTCAGATCCTAGGAAGAGATCTACCTCAGCAGTAAATACTCACCTGGAGGCACACACTGGGCTCACACACCTTGCAAAGTAGCTTGAACAAACAACACTCTTGCCCTGTGTACAGCTTGCATGAGATTCAAAACTGTAGGAGTACAGAAGTCTTATAAATAAAGAAGAAAATGCAACCACGTGGATTTTGGGGTGTGGACCAAAGAGTTCTATTTGAAAATGAAAGGATAGGTGGTAAATTAGTGGTGCAGAATTCAGCTGAAATTCTAATTAAACCAGTAATTAGAAATGATGGTGTGGAACAAGAGGCAACTTGTTATCTTCAGATACTGCTGGGTAGGCTCTGGAAAGCAGCATGGCAGATCAGCACAACAAATGCTGCTGAAGAGATGACCCTAGGGGCTGGGGGCTGAGGTGTTTGTTCCTCTGGCCCTGACTATGCCTTACTCCCACCACAGTACAGCCACAGAACAAACAGGGGATTAACCGTCAACTCCCAAACTGAAAACTCAGGTGGCCTTAAACTCACCTGACTCAGAATTATTCCCTGGTTCTGGACGCAAGAATAATTTAGTACAGTAATTTACACTGCATCTGAGTTTATGTTCTCACATGTGAGTTTTCTGTACACAGTGAGCATTTAACTTATATATTTTCAAATAAGTAGATTTGGCCATAGATGAACATTTTTAAAAAATTAATCATGGGGCAAGGATACAGAAAGTTACCAAAAGCCTGCATCTACAAAATGGCTGCCTCTGAAGCATGAGTTTCTGGGAAGTCCTCTTTGTCTGCCAAGGGTTGAGAAACATTAATGCTTACATTCCAATTATCTACCCTCTTTTATGGGAACTTCTCCATTGAGATTTCAGGTGGTTTAGAGACAGCAGGCAGGCTAGGGCAGCATGGTCCTGTTCCTCTGGAGTAGGCAATTTCTGAGAGAGAGAGGAGGCAGGAAGGCAGAAGGAATCAGATGCCAGCTTTACCAAAACATCCAAGGACACAAGAAGCAGAGACTAGGGGTGAGGAGAATAAGTTCTCCATGGGACAAGACCAACAACATTTCCCTCTGAGCATCCCCTGCCAGCAGCTACTGTAAATATAATCTTGGAGTGTTAGCAGTTTTGTGCTGGGCTCTGAGACCTCACTAAATCACACACACACACACACACACACACACACATACACACACACACACACACACACACACACACACACACGCGCGCGCGATCAAGTAAGAAACCTAGAAATACCACGGTTTGTCAGACACTGGCTATCCTCTATTGTGCAGCTGCAGAAAGTCTCAGGGCAACATTCACTCTTTTCTGACTCTTTTCTCCCTGCTATTGGCACCAATCCTTAACTTGGACAAACTTCAAGGGACTGAAGTCAAATAACAGGAGTCAAGAAGAAAAAAAATAGGCACACAACAATTAAGTCTCTATATAGTTCCTGGGCTCTCTTTCTGAATTTGACCCCACTTGGAGCCAAATACCATATTCCCTCAACCCTTAGAACTTTGTATCTGTTCATTTTCTATCAATCGTCCATAGGCTGAGGCCCACTTCCTTCTTTCTTAGAGCTCTAACTTAAAGAAAGAAGCCTACATGTTTAGATGACCTCAGTTAGGTAGATGCCTAAGCTGTCAGGGAATATTTATTAAGAACTTATTATGCAAACATATCACACAGTGGTTAAGAGTATGACACTTGGAATCAACAGAACTGAGTACCAGTTTTCAGGTTGCCTCTCACTACCTGTGTGGCCTTGAACAAATTATTTAACCTCCCTAAACCTCAAATTTCACATCTGTAAACTGTAGATAGCAGTATCTGTCTCCTGAGATTGTAGTGAAGATTAAATAAAATGGTCTGTAAATAAAGCACTTAGCACAGCACAGAAGCCTAAAAATGACATTACCACCATATGCCAAATGTACTGTGAAGTGCTGGAATCCACAACATGCACTGCCTTCTCTTAAAAGCAGATAAAGGTGGCATTTCTCTACAGAGTACTGTCCTCCTCAGCTCTTAGAGGTTACTCCAGCAATCCAATACTGTGTTTGACCTCTGACAGCCTAGGACATTGGCTAGGGGACATTGACATAGGAACTAAGATGTCAGAGTTTGCTGCCATCCTGATGTTCCAGATGTTTGGCTATGAAGATTTCTTACAGCCCAGCACGGAGTGAATGATAACTCACATCTTGTCTAGAAAAAAAAGCTAAAATCCATCTTCGTTTAAACTCTTCTTATTTAGCAGTTTTAAAGGGATTAATGATGAATTGTCATGCTGCAGGAAAGAAGTATGAGAGGAAGGAAGGTGCACAAGCAGAAGAAAGCTGTTGCTCTGGAATCCTCTCATTCTGTCTCTACCGTCCTTGGAACATGTTTGCAGATCCAGTGGGCAAAGACATTGATTCAAGGGTAAATAGTGACTGCAAATCACATGTACAATTTCCAGTAACAGATTGTAATCCTATGGGTCAGCATGGCCTCTTTCTTGCAGCATTGGGGCTCCTCTTATTTCCTTCACTTTTGAGGTGCACACATCTTAGTCCAGCCCCATGTCTATACTGATTACAGAGGCAAGGAGCAAGGGGCCAGGATCCTTCAGGGAAATAAGAGATCCATTCTTGCCTTTTCTCTCTGGGAAAGGCTAACCTCACATCAACTGAACATTCTTTCGCAGCTTTCAAGTCAACTGTGGATAGGATGGGTGTGAAACTGGATGATGACAAGAGCTGTTCAAATAGAAGGGACTTGGTAGGTGCTGCAGTTTGGGACCAAGTCATGGTCAGGCATAATCCCGAGAAGTAAAGGTCACCATTGGAGTGTCACTCTGTAGTTACTGCCTCAGGCATGCAGCAAACCCAGCACATCCCAATGTTAGCCTTGTTCTTTTCAGGGTTCCCATCCAGGGTCTCACAAGGGAGACTTCAGGGTTGGAAGGAGGTGGAGCTATGGGTCCTTCTTAATCACGTGGGAGGCCTTGTCATTTTCACTGGCCTCCCTGCCCCCTCTCATGCTCAGAAGCAGGGGCAGGAAGAGAAAAGATTGGCTCTGGTTAAAACCCGTAAGGGAAGGGCTGGGGAACTAACATCTAAGGAGCACCTGCTGTGTCCAGTATTAGGCTGAAAATCATGCTGTAGAAAAAGGTACCACAGACATTCTTCTTTTAACTGAGGAAACAGAGGCTCCAGAGATGAAGTAACCTGCCCAAGGTCACCTGCTGACACATGGCAGAGCATTGGGCCCAGCTGTGACTACAATTGCAAGACCTCTCCCAGACTCCCCTTCAACACTACTTCACCTTCCAGTCCAGTTCACCTTCCCCAGAGGGTCAGCGCTCTGGAGCCCTAGCTCAGCAGCAGCCAGGAAGCCTATGCTCTACTCAGGGCTTGTCCACCTCTGAGCTGTGGTCCCAAACACTTGGGACTCAACCATTCCTGCTCACCAGTCTTGCTAAAGAACTCTCTTGAACTCATAATAGCTGACACACGACTCTGTGTGTGACTCAGGCCAAACAAACTCCAATCAGAGCTGGTGGGCACGACTTGCCTCCTGCACTGAGTCACACGCCAGGCTGAACTGCAGGGATTTGCTGAAACTCAGCCACCTACTTAGCCACAGCTGCTCCATGAGAGAAAAAGCCAGCAAAGGAACTAAAACCTCTGATGGCACCACAGACAGGCCATGGCCAAGGACAGCCAGGGGATGTCCTTCCTGACCAGGGGATGATGGACCCATCTCACCTGGTCATGGGGTAATGTAAGTTCAGTGTGAGGCAAAAATAGCCCATGCTGTTAACCTTCAGTCTGACCTTGTTCTTCAGACATTTATCAGCATGCCCAGCGAAGCCTAACAATAAGACATTAAAGTTTTGGTGAAATATGTTTGGAGCCATTACAGAATTTCTGCAGTTCCTGAAACTTCCTGTTATTAAGGTCAGTGTCTTCAAGGAAATCTTTCTACTCTATTCTACTCCCCCACATCCCCAACACAATCCTACCTGCCTCTTGTTCATAGTTGAACTGCACCCAAGGAGGAATAGGAACAAATTTTTAAAAGAAAAAGTCCACTTCACAGTGACTAGATCCTGCCAGGCAGGTGATCTCAGGGCGTCTGAACCTTGGGTTTTAAAAGGAAACACCAGGCTTCCTTCCAAGGCGGCCGCACCCTTGCGGGAGCAGGTCCCCCTAGTGTGCTGGGAGCATCCCTTCAGTGCACCACGCGCACAGGTATAAATGTTGCAGAGGCCTCTCTCCCGGGAAGTAGGCGTCCCCTCCAGATCTGCACCCCACGCACGTCCCCTGTCTCTGCTTTTCCGTTCTTAGGCGCGCTTCCTTCTAGGGAGGAAGGGCTCCTCTCTAGCTACGAATTCGGCGAAGACAGGCCTCAGGACTGAGAATTAAATATTCATCTCGGACGTGAGCGATCTGCTTCTCTTGCCAATGTTACTGTCAAGGTCACGGGCCTGAGGCCGAGAGGCTGGGGCTGGGATCCCCAGCCGCTCAGGAGCCTCCTCACGGAATTGCGCTCTGGGCGCGCGGCTCCAGGCCGGGCTACCAAGCGGCCTCCTACCCGGTCCTCCGTGGGCGCTTGCCCCTACAGCTCTGCCCAGTTACCTCCGGCGTTCCGGGTCCTCCTGAGCCCCAGAAGCTGAAGCCCAGAGTCCAACCGGTTGTGCGCCGCGGAACACCTTAGACGCGCGGGGCTGGCGCAGCCCGGGGCTCGTCGCCTGGCAACGGCGGCTGGAGAGGCTGGAGGCGGCGGGCGCCGGCGCAGGATAGCGGCCGAGGAGGGAGCGGCGCCTCGCACCTTAGGCCGCCCTGGCCGGGGCGGGGCCGGAACCGGCGAAGTTGTGGAGGCCGGCGGGGTGATCCCGGCGAGGCGCTGCCGTCGACTCACCTGTCGCGCGGCCTCGGCCCCGGGACTCCGGCCGAGAAGCTGAGTTTCCCAAAGGGGCGCGCGCGCAGTCCCTCCCACGGGCGGCCCGAGTCTGGCGGCGTCGGCCCCGGCCGAGGACGGGGCCGCCCCGGAGCCGCGCGCCGGCGCGCGGGCTCGGCTAGCTCCGTGTTTCTTCCCCCTGCCGCCAGGTACGAGCCGGCGCTGGCCCACCTCTCGCTTGGGCTCTGGGGAGCAGGCCGGGGACCCAGGAACCGCAGTGGAGCGAGCGTTCGAGGATGTGATGGCCTGGCCGAGTGCCGCCCTCCTGCGCCCTGCCCGCGCCAGCTCTGCGGAGCGGAACGGAGCTGGGCGGAGCGCGGCGCGCTGTTCCCTCGCTTTCCGAAAGGCCACCCTGGCGGCGGGGCGCCGTGACGCAGGCTTGACTCAAGCGCGGGCCCGCGTCAATGAGAGGCTCTCGGGCCGGAGCGAGGCTCTGATGGCCGATGCAGGCGGAGGAGGTGGGCAGGGAAAGGGGGAAGAGGTCACCAGGATGCCACTTCTTGAGGATCCTGGTCAAGATACCGAGACCTTGGTGCTGTCTACAGGGCTTCTGCTCTCGGAGGGAAATAGATCTCCAGTAGCCAAAGACCCCCCAGCCTGGGCTTGACTTATTTTTGGATTCTCCGCTTTCTCCTTCCTTGTGAAAATGCCTCCCCCATCCCTAGAGTGGTTCTTCCCCCCACCTACCTATTTTAACCTGTATACATGTGTTGCCCCTCTTCCCTTCCATGAAGATGCTTTTTCAGTTCCACTGACCTTCCATGCTACCGCTCTGCTACCCTGTATTGTTTACCTCTTCGGTACATCCTTCATCTACTGAGCTACTACATGCCAGGTGCTACAGAGGCTAGACGATCCCAGATGAGGGGAAAGCTCTTGGAGAGGCAGGTGGGGTTTGCAGTAGTAAACTAGTAATACTAGTCATAATACTAGGCAGGGCTGAAGAACCTTACCAGATTAGTACAGTGGGAGACAATGAGAGAGAACATTCTGACTGGCTTCTTGGCAGATGTCAGAGGGTATGGTGGAGGGAACAGCATGCCAAGGGCTGCTGGAGCGGGGAAGTTGTGCTTGCAGACAATTGCCTGACTGGAACAGGAGTTAGGGTAGTGGGCAGTGGAGTTAGAAAGGGAGGAGGCATCCTGTCAGAGACTTGGAGGGCTGTTTGGGGAGGCTTCAGGGGACAGTAAGGAGACCCTTAGCATCAGAGGCAGCTGTTGGGCGGGTGGAAGGTGGAGTTGTCTCAGACATCCTATTAAAAGGCAGTAACTGCCACAATCAAGAACCCTGAAGGCAAGAGTGGTGAACCCCAGAGGTAGAGGAAAGATAGGGATCTGAGAGTCCATCCTTGTGAGATCTGTTAGTCTGCCACTATTTTATAACTTCTTTCAGAAGAGAAGATAAATCATGGATTTAAGACATACTGAGAAAAATGTGTCCATGAGCTATAGAGGAGATAAGCAGATATCCTTGCCTTTCTTCCCTTGTAGCACATCTACTGGCTGAAAGCTCCATTTTGGATAAACTTAACTCCTGGTTTCTCTATGCAATGTCCACCAGAGGAAAACACACTGTAGATCTATTTCCCTCTGCTTCACAGTTTCCCTCTTACGCTTCCTAACAACCCCTCTGTGGCTCTCTGGCCAACTCACTTCTGCATTCTAATGAAGGCCACTCCGTCCTCTTCTACTGTCTCCAAACACCCTCCTTGCTACTTGCTGTCCTATACTACCCTGCTGCCTCAGGAGCTCCAACAGAGAGCTCTCTGCATTTTCTGCTGAGAATAATGAACCTTCCCTGCCTGCACCAGCCTGGATGCCTGCTCTCCCTTCTCCCTGGTAGACCACGGCAAGCTCTCCTGCTGCCCGAGTCCAGTTCCACACTGTGCCCTGGGTCCCCTGGCCCATGCCTTCTTCAGAACCTCAGTTACCATCATCTATTCCTGTCCCTCCTGGCCCATCAGCCTTTCCCTCCCCAATGGACTCTTTCAGCAGCTTTTAAAGCACTTTCAAGTTTTGTTTAAAGGTCACGAGGCTTTCGTTCATCTCACTTTCTTCTATACTCTTGTCTCCATTGTCTCACTGCCTTCTTGTCCTGGTCTACCCCATCACACTGCCAACATAGCTTTTGCTAAGGTCACCAATGACCATTATGGCACTAAATCCATACATTCTCCAGTCTTCGTATTACTGACTACTCTATAATGCCTATCACCTTCCAACACTCCCTTCTCTCCCCTCTGGAAGTCCACTCCCTGGCTGTCTTCCTACTCTCTGGCCACCCCTTTCTATTTCCTCTTGTTGACCTCTATATTCTGGACTGCTCAGAGCTCTACACCTTTCTCACTCTAGATTATTTTCCTAAGTCATTTCCTATATTGACAACTTCCATATTCATATCTCCATTCTAGATGATCTTCTGAGCTTCCTATGCCCAGCCTCCTATTCCCCCTTTCACTTGGCTCTCTGAGAATTAACCCCAGTGCATATGCACAAGATGAACTCCTGTATTCAAAGCTCTGTCTTTTATAAAATGTTCCAATTTTTTCTTCTTGTTCTTGCTCCTCCTTGGTGTTCCCTGATTCTGTGAATTGCTGCACCAGCCAGAAACCCAATAATCACTTTAAGATTTCCCTTTTTCACCCCTTCATGAAACTGGTCATTAAATTCTAGAGATTTTACCTACTAACTACTTCTTGAGCCCGGCCACTTCTGTTTAATTTTGCTGCCAACAGCCCTAGTCTGAACTTTAATCATCATTCACCCATACTCTCCCAGTTACCTCCTGATTCCAGATCCAACCTTCCCTCCTTTATTCCACGTAGAAGTAAGAATCATCTTTTAGGGGCTGGGGATTTAGCTCAATGGCATAAGCGCCTGCCTTACAGTGTGTGGTCGTGAGTTTGATCCCTGGTACCGATAAAAAAAAAAAAAAGAATTATCTTTTAGAAGTAAGGCTATGTAATTCCAGCTCCTCTGACTTGCATGATTTTATTTTTTTTAATTTTTTTTTAATTTTTATTTAAGGAGAAAAGAGAAAAAAAACAGTGAAAGGGTACAAGTTATACAGATTTACAGAAAAAAAAATGAACAGTAGGAAATCACTAGTTAATGGATTACATATTGCCATCTTAGGACTTGCATGATTTTACCCACATCTTTGGGGTGTCCCTCGGGGTCGTTGGTTGACTCTAGGTTCGCCTATCACTTCTCTCACTAGAGCTTTTCTGCAGCCCACTGCCCTTACCAACCTTTCCTCTCAGCTTTTCCTCCTCTGTCAGGCTTCCTGGCTCAGGTTCCAGTCCACATGCCCTCCCTTCCAGGAATTCAAGTCCCTTGGTCCTCTTTCCTCACTCCCTGTTCATCCACTCCACAGTGTTAGGACCCTAATCATTCACCTCTCTCCATCATGGAAAATTAGGTCAACCTCCCAGATAAACATTTCTTCCTTTTTGTATCCTTTATCTTCGTTGTGACTGCAGACAAATTGTGCGACTGGCTGCTTAGTGATGGTCGCTCTGGTTGATATGGAGGTTCCACAAGAGCAGAGACCATGAATACCTTCAACACATAGTGGATCCTCCCTAAATATTTACTGAAACAATAAAGTGTGGTTAGAAACATGGGTATAAAGCTCAGGAACAAGGGCTAAAAGCTTGATTTGAAAACTACAGTTATTTGCAACTAAAAAACTTAAGGTAATTCAGTCACATGGTTGGATGCAAACAATATATAATTTCATTATCAATTATATTAAGATATAATTGTTAATTGTACTGACATATAATGTTGAATAAGTTAGGTATGGAAGACTTTTCTATATGACACTCCTTTTGCCTCATTCTGTTTTATTATTCCCCAAACAACTTATCATCATCTGACATTTAACTCACTTTCCTGTTTACTTGCTTGTAGACAAAAGCAAATTAGATACAGGCTATAATCCCAGGACCTCAGAAAGTCCTGACACATTAGTGTTCATAAATATTCAGTGGGTAATTGTTAAAAAAGGTGATGGGAGAGATTTTTTTGTTACATAAAAAGTCCCTGAAAATCAGTAAGAATAACAACAAAGGCTGTGATCAGAAAGCTCATAGAAAGCATGTGGTTTTTACATGTGTAAAAAAATAAAACCAAAAAAACCTTTAAGTTCCATTTATAATAGGAGAAATGTAAATAAAAAATGAGAGTTTTTACCTATTATGTTAGTGAGTAATCAAAACAAATGAAAATAAGGTTAAGAATACACATGATGGGGGCTGGGGATTTAGCTCAGTGGCATAAGCGCCTACCTGGCAAGCAGGCAGTTGTGAGTTCGATCCCCGGTACCAATAAAAAAGGCAAAAGACAAAAAAAAAAAAAAAAAAAAAAAAAAAAAAAAAAAAGAATACACACGATGCTAAGGAGAGAAAAGTTAAGTAGTACAATGTATAGAAGATAATTAGGCCACATTTATCAGAATCACAAAGGCACACATCCACTGACCATTAGGCCACATCTATCAGAATTATGAAGAAACAAACTCTCTTTGCTCATGGTTTGTTTAAAGACATTCATTTAAAGATACTCCTTGAGCAGTGTTTGCAAAAGATAAAAGTGGAAACAATTTAGATTCTATCAACAAGGAACTGTTTAAATTATTTATGGTACCTCCACGCAATGAAATTCTCAGTTATTAAAATGAACAAGGCTGCTCTATGTGTTCTGATCTGGAAATGTCTCCAAGATGTGCTGTTAAATGAAAAAAAGATGCAGAATAGTGTGGAGAGGGTGTGACCATTTGTGTGTGCCTGTAGAGGCAAGGATATTTTTGGAGCAATACATAAAACATTGACAATCGTGCCTGCCCTCTAGGGTGCAGAACTGCATGGCTGGGGGAGGCACGGGAGAAAGATTTGTTTTCATTATATCCCTTTTGAATTGTGTACTGTTATCTATTCCATGAATATTCCATATTTTCTTCTTTGTCCCTATATGCATGTAAGATCTGCAGAGAGCAAACCCTGGAAATTGGCCACCTCCTCTGTAGAGGAGGACTGGGAGTATAAACGTAGATATTGGATTTACTTTAATTTTGTTTGAATTCTTCTTTGTGTATGTGTTACCTATTTAATAACATAGCCAAATCTATTTCCCCTTGCTCCTCTGGACTGGCTCTTGGTGCTGCTTCTTTTCAGCCCTTACCTTCCCTCCGTTTGGGTACCCTTTGCCACTCTGATAGGGTCCTGTGGGAAGAGCACAGACTTCAGAATCACATGGGCTGGTCTCAGAGTCTGAGTTTCATCCTCACCTGTACCATGAAGATAACAGCAATATTTGTGTTACAGGGTATGGTGAGGATTAAATGAGAGATTATATTAAGTAAGTGCCTAGTAAATAGCTACTTTACCTTGTTTTTTCAGAATAGTGTTATGACAACTAGAATGGCAGGAGCACTAAACCCTTTCAAATCTTGTGCAGTTGTGTGCTCCTTCCCTTTAGCAGCTACCCCTAAAAAAGTGTTAAGGAAAAGAAATGGCAAATATAACTCCTAATGTGTTTTGAGAGCAGCAAGGGCATTGTCGCTGTCTGCATTTGGGGAGGAAGGTGAAGGAGAGTGTCCCAAAGGCCCATGTGCCCAGCACCAGGGTCTCAAACTCCTGCCTAAGAGGAAGTATATCATTGTAAACAGAATCAGGTGGCTGATGTAAACAGATAGGGGGCAGCTGCTCTGTTAGGACCAGCACAGCAGGGAGTGGGGCGGAAACGTGCCAGGAGATGATGTGAAGGGGAGGGAAATATTTGTCTCACCCAGCATGGAGAGGGAGGGGGAATTGGATGCAAAGTCTGCCTCACCTCAGGGACAGCATGGAGGTTTCAGGACCAGAGTCAAATATAGACCCATTTCCATAAACGTACCAGCCGCTGCTTCTATAAATACCTCAGCCAGTTTTCCCGGGTTCTCATGTGACTTTGATGCCTACCTCAGCTGTGGGGATCCGTTGCCATGGTGACCGGACCCGTGATCAGCCACTCTTCATTCATGGCAGGTTGCGTTGCCCTGGATTGAGGATTGGAGGGGAGGGTGGAGGGAGGGCCAAGGAGAAGGAGACGGGGGTGAACAATGAGTAAGGATAAAGTTTCCAGGCCTAGGGGAGACTGCAGAGCTCTAGCTTTATTGCGAAGATGCTGCGGCAGTTATTGATCTCCCCAGGCTGCTGTCAGAGGAAGAACATTTTTATTCAAAAAGCAGTAAATGTCCTTACCTTTGAGTCAGAAAATGAAAAGTTCAGAGCTGGAAACACCTCAACCATTCTCTAGGTCACTCTCCCTGTTAGTATAGATAATGAACAAGTTCCCTAAAAGGTGAAGTGACTTGCCCAAGGCCACACAGAAAGTCAGTTGCAAAACTGGGGCAAAAATCAGTCACTGACTGACCCCTCTGCATCCACACAGGGCTAGCTGTGTTGGGCTACAGAGATGTGACTGCTGAGACTAGAGACTCCTTTGTTTATACATTTGGCACCTGGCTGGGGTCACAGATCCCCTCAAGAGGGAAAAACTGAGCTCAAGGTCAGTCCTGGTTTCTTGCCTAACAAATCTGGAGATAGTAGCTAAAAAATTGTGACAGGCCCTGCAGAGCTGAGCAAATCCAGATGTCATCCTTAGTCATCTATGGAGCTCTCTTTTTGATCAGAATGTCCTAGATCTGCCTCTATCCTGCTGAATTTGTCTAATGCCACTAAGTCGTGCTCCTTTGGTACTCAGTGCTAGGGGTGAGATGAGGGGGTAGGGAATGAACCTTTCCTGCTTATGCTGGGGTGCCCGGCTTAAATACATGTGGAGACAAAAATGGAAAAGACTCTTGTTAATGCTAGGCTTCAGGAAGTTCTTGGGTCTATAAGCAGGGCAGGCCATAAAAGTCGGAGAAGGCTTCTAGGAGGAGGTGGGGAAGAGGACATGCCTTGTAGGTGATGTGGCATGACCTGGATGCCTGAGAGAGGGAAAGTGGGTCTGACAGAATTGGCTAAATCTTTGAATCGGACGACTGTAGGCCACATAGCTGATTGACATAGGCTCAAGCAGCAATATAAGGGAGTCCATGAGGAGATAAATTCAGAGACCACAAAGAAACATTTGCATTGAAATATTCCTGAAAGAGACTGAGAACAAATACAAACATTATCATGGAGCTTGAAGACAATTGGCAGCAACTGTAGGCTCTGTCACCACCTGGTCTTGGACAAATGTTCAGCAGACTCCAGATACTAAAATCCCTAGTGCTGGAGGCCAGCAGCAGCCACAGAAGCATGGGCTGAACGTGTCTTTTTTCATTGATGGCATCTTGGTAGAGCTCAGGGGTAAGGATATGAAGCAGAGTGGCCCCATATTCTCCACCAAACCTCTGCTAGCCAGCCAGGGGACTGACCATAGTAGCCTCCAGCCTAGCTTGGAGGGGTGCAAGCTTTCACTTTGAGAGAAGTGGATCTTGCTTCTCACTGGCTGCATGTCACACTGTACATGTGTGTTTATTTTTTCAGGACCACATCTGCTGTCCACCTCTGTCTGTGGCTTGGAACAGAATACAGAATGTAAGGGTATGCCCACTCAGGATAGTCTGGCAAGGATTGGTGATAGGATTATTTCCAAAAGATGAAAAATATTTCCAAAAGATGAGAAGTATAAAACAAAAAGCAGTCTTTATTCTGAGAACACGGAGAGAGATGACCGGCACTTTTGGAAATAATCCTATCAATTGGTATTTTACATGGAGATGCAGCGGGTGCATAGCTTTGGAGGCAGACCTGAATTTGAGTACTGGTAATGTCACTTACTCAAGCAGCCCTGAAAAACTTATTAGTTTCTCTGAGTCTCAGTTTCTTCTCTAGTAGGAGATAATGTCATCTATCCTAATGAGCAGTTGTGACCTAAGACATAGTGGGTACAAAGTGGCATATAGAAGGAGACTTAAAGGACGATGGCTCCTCCTTCAGGGCGTGCGAGAAGGAAGTACACCTCCTTGGGATCCCAGCTTCTCTTCCCCTCACACCAAAGAGTCTCCTGAATCCTTCACGTAGTACCTCCCTGTGTCCCTCCCCTTCTGCTTAGAAAATCCTTTCACTTGGTTCCTCTCCTCCAAAGCCTTGAGTCACCCACCTTAAAAGCCCTATTTGAATGTCACTCCTTCCTGTGTAGCCTGATTACCTCCAACTTCCCGTGATGTTCCTGCCAGCACTTACCAGTGACCACTGTATCACTCTTCAGCCCACAGCATATCTTAACAATAAGAACTATCATATGAACACCATTTACTGAACTAAGTGCCTCACATAGAAGGGATCAGAGAGGGCTAGTGACTCAAGTATGGTCACTTAGCAAAAAGACGGCAAAGTGGGAGATAAGCGGGAGCCCACTTCATTCCACAGCCTGTGGCACATGGCATATCACCACATTGTAATCTCACTCCAACTGTGCTCTTACTTCACCACCTTGACTGTACCAGTGTGCACATGGCAGTGTGCACGTGGTACCAGTGTGCTGTACCAGTGTGCACGTGGCAGAGAAAACACGGACCTTGGAGTCAACTAGGAATGGGTTTAAAGCTTGCCTCCATCACTGATGTGTTGGGTGACCTTGTTTAAGTCATTCCCTCCCTGAATCTCAGTTCAACAACTGGAGTTGTCTGCATATGATGTGTAGTGGTGGGCCTGCCTGCACTGACATTCCTGCTCCTGCTTCCTGTCTCTCCAGGTGGCTGAGGCAGTACTTAGCTGTGTAGAGCACCAGCCTGACGGCTGATGCATTCTTTCATTCTGTTCCTTACAGCAACACTGCAGAGGACAAAGTGCTAGAATCTATATTTTACAAAACTAAAGCTTAGGGGCTGGGGATATACTTCAGTGGCATAAGAGCCTGCCTGATAAGCACAAGGTCATGAGTTCGATCCCTAGTACAAAAAACAAAAAACAAAACGAAAGCTTAAAGAGGTTAAGAAATTTGTCCAGGGTCCTTGGATATAGTTTAGTGGCAGAGCACTTGTAAGACCCTAGGTTCAATTCCCAGCACTGCAAAAGCAAAACAACACAAAACAAAATTTGTCCTGGGTGACATATTCAAGCAGTAGTGCTAGGATTTGACCCCAGATCCATCTGATCCCAAATCCCAGACTCCACGAAACATTGATTCCTCAGAGGCTTCTACAAATTAGGTGATGGGCGATTCCTCATCTATTTTTACTGTTTGAGTAGGATCACAGATTCCATCTATATATGGAGAAGGAAAATTCAAGAATGTGTTTGTCATTTTTCCATCATTGTAACAAAACATCTGAGATAATCAACTTACAGAGAGAAAAGGTTTAATTCAGCTCAGTTTTGGAAATTTCAGTCTGATTGATTGGACCTGTGGCAAGGTAACACACTGTGATGAGAGCATGAGGTGGAGCAAAACCACTTACCCCATGGGCAGGGAGTAGAAAAAAGAAGGGACTATATACCTTCAAGGGTGCATCCCTAGTGACCTGAATAATGTACCTCCCATTGGTCCTCATCTCTTAAAGTTTCTGCCACTTCCCCATAGTGTTCCCTGGGAACTAAACTTATAATCTATGGACCTTTGGAGGGTATTCAAGGTCAGACTATAACAGAGGGTGTTAAGTGACTTACTCAAGGTCACAAATCAGCTAGTGGCGGATAGTCCTAAAAGTCAGAGCTCCCAAACCCAGTGATCTACTTTCTCCCTTGCTCACTGATGCCTGTGGCTGAGATTCCTGCTATGGAAACTCTGAGACTGTGGGATTTGGGCCAGGAAGTTGGCCACAGGCCTCAACCTGGTCCCAGGAACCCTTCAACCATGGAGGAATTTGCTTTGAAGACAAAGGATGACTCCTGGCAAGGAGAGTCATTCCTATTTCTGCTCCAGACAAATGGGAAACTGCCACAGATTCCATGATAAATCTTTCTGCTAAAGATGATGCATCTCCTTGGGCCTGTTATAGGCACAGAATATTTGGACATTGTACAAGTCAATTACTGAGACCAAATTCTAAGCACTGAGCAGAGATATTTTCATTGAGTGGCTGTAGCGGTGCCAGGGCCTCTCAGGGATCCAGCTGAGAAACTGCTCTGCTTCATGTTTGATGCTAGGGGTGATGCAGAGTTATGAGACTTGCTCCATGAACCCCCTGGGAAAGGTGCCCCCAACTCACGCTCATCATGATGGCCTCTGCTCTGCGTTTGCCCCTGAGGCCACCAGAGGGCAGCTGGGCCAGCTAGGAATATTCCGCCCATTTCAGAGTCCCCAGTCTATCATGTCCTCACTCTCAGCTCCCTGGAGTTGAAGAAATAAGCTTCCTTTCCATAGCAAACCCCAAGCACAGCCCTCCAAACAGGGCCTTGCTGCCTCAGTCCCAGGTCTCCGAAAGTCTTCCCTTGCTCCCCAGCAGTATCCATACCTAAGCTCCACTTTCAGATATTCACTCTTGCCGCTCCAAAATCTCTTGGGATTGCAGCCT